CGTGCCAGGTGCAGGGTCTGCTGGCTGGGTGCTGGCAGGCTTGCACCTGGCACGGGCACCGTAGCCAGCCCGTGCCCCTTTAAGGGGTCCGGGGCCGGGAGGGGGGCATAGAGTTTCCCTGGTGTTGGCCAGAGTGGCCACCAGGGAAACCTGGGAAGCCTTAGCCTCCCCCTAGTTCGAACTAAAGGGCTACACAGCCCTTAGTTCGAACTAGCTAGTTCGAACTAGGCGTTAGTCCTCGTAAAATGAGGTTTACCTAGTTCGAACTAAGCGCTCCGCTAGTTCGATTCAAATTCGAACTAGCGGAGCGCTAGTGTAGCACCTATTAAAGTTAGTTCGAACTAACGTCCGTTAGTTCGAACTAACTTTGTAGTGTAGACATACCCATAGATTCTAAAGCAATGAATACAGCACAAAGCAAGGCAAAAGCAGTTACTATAAGGTCTACTCTATACGATAATAAAGCCTAATTCACTTACGCTTCCCCCGTCTGCTACCTACAGTACCAGGCAGGAGGTCGTGGGTCCGTCTCTGTCCACGCATTGGAATGCCACCACTGATGTAGCCAATGGGAAGGTCTTAATCCCTTATAGTTACCTCGAGCAAGACGTGTGGGTCGATCCTGCCCATTCCCTCCCACCAATTTTTCTTAGTAAATCCAATTTATAACAAAGCGAGGCTTAATCGTGCTAATCATATTTACCGATTGATGGCGTGTTGTGCAGGATAGATAAAAACCCAATGCCTTGGTTGGGGTTGCCTGCTCAGGATGTTGCTGCTACGTGCGCAGTGGACAGTTTCATGGCTGCATCTCTATTTTTGCTTCACACACATGTCCCCGTAAGTCACTACCCTGCACTGCATTCGTCAAAACATTACAGCAAATCCCCTCTTCTGCCACACCGGGATGGGAGGGGCTGAGGGCATGGGCTGAAAGCAGTGGATGGAAGTGCTATCCTGGGGGTGGAAGGGGCAGGAGGTGATATTCCTTGGGAAGGGGGGAGGGATGTGGAAAGGGGGCATCTCGGGGGAGGGAGGGAAGGAAGGAAGACACGAAGGAAGGATGGGGATGGAGGGAATCCCAGGGTGAGATCTTGAAGGAGAGGGGCTCCAGGGTGTGTCAGATCCCATAAGACACCAGGGAAAACCAAACAATGCCAAAATATTCTAACCTTGTGTGTCCCCAGCTAACGGATCCAGAGGGGTCCCCGAACATGATACCGGAGGAGAAGTTAGGTCCAGAACTGAGACAGAACCAAGCCATCAACGAGGACTATGAAAACACGGCATATGAACCGGGGCAGCTGAACCCCTTCTCCTTCCAGTGCAAAAAGAGTCGCAAGACCACCTTCACCCTCACCAATGCTGTCGCCATGGACCCCCACTTCCACCAGCTCCGCTGGAGCAAGGTGGAGAAATCCCTCAAGACTCGGTTGACTGAGAGCTGCGTCCGTAACGGCGGGAGCCCCTACCTGGTGACGGGAGCTGTTCCCGGTGATGTGAAAATCCCCATACGCAGCACGGATAAGGAAGTGAACCGTGACCGGATATTCGATCGGGTCTCAGTGCCCAGCCACGTCTGGACAGCTGTGTGCTGCAACCACACGGACGAGACCGAAAAATTCTCCTTTTCCATCCTAGAAGAGAACAAGGAGGAGTCCAGACTCCAAATCATCCCCGTGGAGAAGCTAAACACAGAACTAGCGCATCTGTACAAATTTTCTGAGCCAGTTGGGATCTTTGCAGATGACTGCGGCTCCAGGAACCCCAAATCGCAAAGCGTTTCATTAGACGTAAAGTTAGACGTGATAGACAGCTTCCACATCTTCTTCGATGACTACTACTCCCTGCTCCTCCCAGAGAAGGAGAGACACCGACTGGACGCGAAGACCATCCGGGTGTTGAGAAGCAAGAACCTGCATGAGGCCAGCATGCGGCTGTCACACATTGAGTTCATGGTGGCTTTTCGCAGCCTGGCAGACTGGCACCACGGCTATGAGACATTATACAAGCAGGATGACTTGAGCTGCGTGCTGGCCCCCGCTGCCGCTGGGACAACGGACAGACTCTGCACCCTGCTGGAACAGAAACATGTGCCAGGCTCAATAGTAACCGCCTCAGGGTGGAGCTGTGTGGAGGAGCACTGTGGGAGTCACAGCTCTGCCTACAGCGGGTGCAACACATCGTACAGCCGCCAATGTCGGTCGGGACGGTACGAGTGCTCACGAGGGGACGGCACCACCGTGGCGTGCTCCCCTCAGTTCTCCACCGTGACCATCAGCGGGAAGCCCTGTCGGGCTGACCATCCCTGCGGCCTTTATGGGGAAGATTCCTACTGGTGCTACACAGATTACAAACAGAACCGGGAGGATTGCTGCTCCCCTCAGGGCTACTGCAGGAAGAATGGCAGAGACTACGACTGGTGTCACATCAAGGATCCAGAGAACTGCTGGGAGCGCTGTACCCCATAAAACACCCGCTGTAAGGAGGGGGCAGCGGCGGCTTCCCTGGCTCCGTCGCAGCAAAGCTTAGCAGAAATGAATCAGCAGCTACCTTCATTTCTAGGTCTATCAATGTAACCTGCTTTTGCCCAGACCCTGTTGCAGTAACTCAGGCCTGCAGATCTGCCCTGTCCGACCAACGCCAGGATGTGGAAGGGAGCCCAGAAAACATCACATTGAAAGGAGGCTACGGGTACGGCTAGGATCTATCGGAAAAAGATACACAAAATGCGATACTTTTTGTCGGAAGAGACTGTTCCGAAATTCGGCCCGTCTAAACTAGGCCAAATTTTGAAAAAATACCTCCTCTTTTGGAAGCCCCCTTCAGGAATTCCGGGCCTTCCGAAAGAGCGTGTTTTCACTTCCGCAAAAAAAAAATGTGGGAGTGCATACATGTTCCCTGGACGGGGCGGAATATTTTCAGGATACCCCACTTCCCCCACAGTCTAGGCATATGCTACAACATGGGGCCAGAAAGCTGGGATTCGGGCAGACAAACCAGCAGCCCCCCGGTGGTGTGTGAGCCACGGCTAAGAAACCCAGCGAGGACGGGCGCAGGAATGAACGGGGCCCAGCATGGCGTGTCGGAAAGCAGGCTCGTTAGTGAACGAGCTAATGAAGAGACGCATTCTTCCCCTGTCCCGCACGCCCTTTTGAGAGGTGAAAACAGAGGCTTGGGGGACCAGAAAGGGTGGGAGGGGACAACAGGTACAGGCCGGCTTGGCTCCAGCGACGCTGCCTGGCACAATGATTTGTGCTTTGCTTTGACTCTTTCTGTATTGTGTAGCCGAAAGCACCAGCTATTAAACAGCAGCTTGAATTTCCCAGTGTGTTTGTCGTGAGCCTGGGTGGGCCGAGGTCTCTGCTCGCCGGATATCCTGGCGGCACCGCGACGGGGTCAGGGCACACCTTGGCCTGCTGGGCCCTTCTATGCCGGGGAGACCCCCCAACTCTCTGTCCTGGGCACCCCTCCAGAATCCGGAGCATCCCCCGGACTCCTGTGGATATCAGAGCCCCAGGGGGGCGGGTCTGGATCCTGACTGGCAAGCAGGGCACCCAACCGCATGCCCTGAGAGCCCCCAAAAGGCCCCGCCCCATGGGTGAGCTCAGCATGGCCGGCCCCAAAGATTCAAAATCCTAACCCAACCCCTCCATGATTCATGGGGCTGTCCTCAAAGCCAGGCCCAAAGAGAGATTTGGGGGCGGAGGGTGTTCAGTCTGTTTTCTTGTTTGGAGCGCCCCCTACTGGGTGTACGTGTGTGTGCGAGAGAGAGAGAGAGTGTGTGTGTGTGTGTGTGTGAGAAAGGGTGTGTATGTGTGTTTGTGTTTGTGTGACGCACAATGAAGGAAGGGAAGGGAATTGGCCCTTTGGATCCACCCTAAAATTCATTCCACACTTGCATGGGAAAAATGGGAGGGAAGATTGCGAGCCCAGCACTCAAGAGAACCTACCCCACTGAACGCAGATGTGGTCACCTCATCTCCAAAAAGATCTCTTGGCAGTGGAAAAGGTTCAGAAAAGAGCAACAAAAATGTTGAGGGGTTTGGAACGGGTCCCCTATAAAGAGAGATGAAAAAAGACATGGACTTTTCAGCTTAGAAAAGAGGAGACGAAGGGGGATATAGGAGAGATGTCTATAAAATCGTAACTGGTGTGGAAGAAGTGAATACGGAAACGTTATTTACTTTTTCCCATAATATAAGAATTGGGGGTTAACCGATGAAATGAATAGGCAGCAGGTTTAAAACAAACCAAAGGAAGTGTTTCTTCACGTAGTTCACAGTTAACCTGTGGAACTCCTCGCCGGAGGAGGTGGTGAAGACTAGGACTTGAACAGGGTTCAAAAAAGAGCTAGATAGATTCATGGAGGTTAGGCCCATCAACGGCTATTAGCCAGGAGGGGTAGGGATGATGTCCCTCGCCTCTGTTTGCCAGAAGCTGGAATGGGCAACAAGGGAGGGATCACATGATGATTCCGTGTTCTGTTTACTCCCTCTGGGTATCTGGCATTGGCCACTATGGGCAGAGATGACAGTGGGCTGCATGGACCTTCAGTCTGCACCAGTGTAGTCATACTCATGTTCTTACGAGTCCCTCATCCCCAGAACCCAGGCCTCCAGCCGAGTTCACTTTCCAAAACACATCTCAACCCACTGCGACAGTCCTGAGCCCCCTCCTGCATTGCAACCCCTCGGCCTCACCCCAGCCCCATAGCCATTGGTGCACAGAGCAAAATTCATTCCACACATGCATGGGAAAAATGGGAGGGAAGATTGCGAGCCCAGCACTCAAGAGAATGGGGCACAGGGGGACTCGACTAATGCCCTTCATATCTGGAGGAGAATTCATGAAAGGATTTGTTACTTCTTCCGACGCCAAGGAACGACTCAGGCCCATTCTCGACACAGAGCTGCCCACTTGGCCTTGCCAGCCCCGTTCTGCACTGCAGGCTTCTGCTGCAAAGGTCAGAGGGTACAAAGAGACGTGGGCCCTGAAGGAGAGATGTCTATAAAATCGTAACTGGTGTGGAAGAAGTGAATACGGAAACGTTATTTACTTTTTCCCATAATATAAGAATTGGGGGTTAACCGATGAAATGAATAGGCAGCAGGGTTAAAACACAGCAAAGGAAGTGTTTCTTCACGCAGTTCACAGTCAACCTGCAGTCAGTAACACCCTTCCCTTAGGGCAGGGATGCCCAGTGGGGAGAGTCAGTAACACATCTCCCTTCCCTAATAGCAGTGATGCCTAGTGGTCAGAGTAAGCAGCAAGCACGTAGCACCCCACGCCCTGAGCTGCCTCCTACCAGACTTGTCACAGCCGCCTTCTCCGCCTCTTCCCTCCAGCCGGCGGGTTTCCCTGCCCGGCTCCGTGGGTCGGTCTGCCCGCAGCTCATCCCCTGACGCTCCCACCGCCCCTTCTTCCCCGGCGACTGTCCGCCCCGACCCAGCTGCCCCGCCAGCCTCGCTAGCCAGCTGGCGCCTGCCCCGCCGGGCTGTGGGACCACGGCTCTCTCTGCCAGGGCCCCGGGGCCAACGCTGGCAGGTCCCGTGCAGGGTCGGTGCCCCTCATCCCAACGGGAATATGGCCCCTTGTGCAGGATGAAATCGTGGGCCTTTCTTATGCACCGTAGGCACGTTTTAACGTATTGCGGGGACTCCATTTTGCTTGTCAAAATGGAAAATAGGTCATGTGACCTGGCAATTGACCAGTCAGGTTTTCCCGCCTTTTCCGTGACAGTTGGGGGGGTAAACAAGTTCCGGTTGGAACCGGAATCTCCTCAGGAACGCTACAGGGTTTCCCTGCAGGGCCAGATTCTACGGGGTCTCTCACCCCTCCCCTGCCTCAGAGCAGTCAGTAACCCCTCCCTTCCATCACAGCACTGGGGCCTAGTGGCCAGAGTAACTAACACATCTCAATTCCCTCAGGACAGTGATGCCTAGTGGCTAAAGTCAGTAACACCCCTCCCTTCCCTCAGAGCAGTCAGTAACCCCTCCCTTCCATCACAGCACTGGGGCCTAGTGGCCAGAGTAACTAACACATCTCAATTCCCTCAGGACAGTGATGCCTAGTGGCCAGAGTTACTAACACCCCTCCCTTCCCTCAGAGCAGTCAGTAACCCCTCCCTTCCATCACGGCAATGGGGCCTAGTGGTCAGAGTCACTAACACTGCTCCTTTCTCTCAGGACAGTGATGCCTAGTGGCCGGAGTTACTAACACCCCTCCCTTCCCTCAGAACAGTGATACCTAATGGCCAGAGTCAGTAACACCCCGCCCTTCCCTCAGGACAGTAATGCCTAGTGGTCAGAGTCACTAAAACTGCACCCTTCCCTAATGACAGCGAGGCCTAGTGGTCAGGTTCAGTAACACCCCTCCTTTCTCTTGGGGCAGCGGGGCCTACTGCTCAGCAGGGGCGGCCTTAGACTAGCTGCCAGCAATTGGCGCCTTAGGCGAGCCATGCAATCGGCGCCCCTACCTCCAAACCCCTCAATGATATTACGCCACCATTTGGCGCCCCTTTTAACTTGGTGCCGTAGGCCACCGCCTAGTTCACCTATACGGACGGGCCACCCTTGCTGCTCAGAGGAACAAGCACTTAGCACCCGAGCTCTTGGGGATGTAACCCCACACCCTGGGCTATCTCCCACCAGACTTGCCACAGCCGCCTTCTCCGCCACTGCCCTCTGCCCGGGGGGTTTCGCTGCCCGCTCCCGGCTGACTGGCTCCGTGGGTCGGTCTGCCCACAGCTCGTCCGTTGACGCTCCCACTGCTCCTTCTTCCCCGGCGACTGTCCGCCCCGACCCAGCTGCCCCGCCGGCCTCGCTAGCCAGCTGGCGCCTGCCCCGCTGGGCTGCGGGAGCCTGGCTCTCCCTGCCAGGGCCCCGGGGCCAACATGGGCAGGTCCCGTGCAGGGTCGGTGCCCCTCATGCCACCGGGAACCCAGCCCCTTGTGCACAGTGAAATCCTGGGCGTGTCTTATGAGCCGTAGGCACGTTTTAACGTATTGTGGGGCCGCCGTTTTGCTTTTCAAAATGGAAGATGGGTCATGTGACCAGAAGATTTTAAGGTATTGTGGGACCTCCATTTTGCTTCTCAAAATGGAAGATGGGTCATGTGACCAGAAGGCTGACCGGTCAGGTTTTCCCGCCTTTTCCTGACAGTTGGGTGTAAACAAGTTCCGGTTGGAACCGGAATCTCCTCAGGAACGCTACGGGGTTTCCCTGCAGGGGCAGATTCTATGGGGTCTCTCACCCTATCAGCTCCCAGTGTGGGTCCTCAGGACAGCGATGCCTAGTGGTCAGAATCACTAACACTGCCCCCTTCCCTCAGGACAGCGATGCCTAGTGGCCAGAATCACTAACACCCCTTCCTTCCCTCAGGACAATGATGCTTAGTGGCTATAGTCACTAACACTGCTCCTTTCCATCACGGTAGTGATGCCTAGCAGCCAAAGTCACTAACACTGCTCCCTGCCCTCAAAATAGAGGGGCCTAGTGGCCAGAGTCAGTAACACCCCTCGCTTCCCTCAGGACAGCAAGACCTAGTAGCCAGTTAATAACACCCTTCCCTTCCCTCAGGGCAGTGGGACCAGGGTTAGATGAACCTTTGGGGTGACCCAATATGGCTGGTCTTATGTTCTCCACCTGCCTGTATAGCCGGCCTCCCGCTTCAGCCTGCCCACCAGGCTGTGGGTCCAGAGCTTTCTTCACCAGGGCTAACCCAGCCAGGTCCCACTGGGAAACCGGCTTTTTGTGCAGTGTAAAATCCTAGTCATTTCGTATGAGCCGTAGGCATGTTTTAACGTATTGCGGGGCCTCCATTTTGCTTTTCAAAATGGAAGATGGGTCATGTGACCGGAAGGCTGAGTGGTCAGGTTTTCCCGCCTTTTTCCTGACAGTTGGGGGTCAACAAGTTCCGGTTGGAACCGGAATCTCCTCAGGAACGCGACGGGGTTTCCCTGCAGGGGCAGATTCTACGGGGTCACTCACCCCTCCATAGTCAGTAACCCCTCTGTTCCCTCAGGCTAGCCGGCCTAGTGGCCAGAGTCAGTAACACCCCCCTCCCTTCTCTCAGGGCAGCGATGCCTAGTGGCCAGAGTCACTAACTCTGCTCCCTTCCCTCAGGGCATCGAGACCTAGTGGCATAGTCAGTAACCCCGCTCCCTACTCTCACGGCAGTGATGCCTGGTAGTCAGACTTCCTAACACCGCTCCCTTCCCTCAGGGCAGTGGGGCCTAGTGGTGAGAGTCAGTCACAACTGTGTAGCATCCCCTTTGGGAGTTAATGGGGGTAGGTTGGGGGACCCGGGTCCACGCTCTCTGCCAGGTCACAGCCCACGGGTGACCCACCATGAATCTGCCTGAAACACACTGAGCTCTCCAGCAGCCCATATTGCTGGCGTCCGGCTGGCGTGCCATGAGGTGTACAGCTAGTTCAGAATAGCAAGCCTAGTCTGAACTAGCTAGTCCGTGCCGTGTGTAGCTGCGCGGCACGGAGTCCGCACTAGCGGACATTTAAAAATGGCGCCGGCCGGCAGCATGCTAATGAAGCCCGGGAAATTCAAATCCCGGGCTTCATTTGCAACTCCGGTTGCCTACATTACCACTCTAGTTCGAACTAGGGTGGTAGTGTAGACATACCCAAAGTAACTTCTGACCTGATACCCGGCCGGAACTGGTTCCAACCAGCCTTAAACGCGATTCAGTGTCCACTCAGTGTGGACGCACTATTTTGAAATGGAAAAACGCTATTTCGAAATGCATTTTGTGTGTAGCTGCGTTATTTCAAAATAAGCCACTTCGAATGAACTCTTTTAAGATTAGATATTTTGAAATAATGCTGTAGTGTAGACATACCCAAACTGACCCCTCAAGATTTGGGATTGGAAATATTTTCCTGCTTGTGCTAAATGTAAAATAACCTGAAAATGTGGCTTTGATTGGTATTTGTTGTATTTTTTTCTTTATATAAGAATTAGAAACCCTGTTGCTATCAGTTAATTTCTAAGGCTACGTCTAGACTATAACGTTTTATTGGAAAAAAAGACGCAATTTGCTACAC